CCTTCGCCTTCCGCTTCTTCTTGGCGTTCTTCTGATTTGCCTGCTCGTCTCCCCCGCCCGGCTTTCTACTTCGCCTCTATCGCCCTCGCCTCCTGTCGCCTTACCTTCTCTGTTCCTATCATGTTCGCGACGCAAACCCTCCATCCAACCTTCCTTACGTAGTTCGACAGCTTCTCGATGTCAACCCCCAAGCACTCTTGGCTGTCTCCCTTGGTCAATTTCACCCGGAAGTGTTCATGCTCTCTGCCTACTTCTCCCCTTGCTAGGCAATGCAGTCCCTCCGTGTCACACCAGTTCTTGAACTCTATCCTCGTCATGTCCCTTGGAATTCCAAACAGCAGCAGCTCCAACCTGTCTCCCTGCCACAGTTTCTGCTTCCATCCTCCCGGCTTCTTCACCATCCTCATGATCTCTACAGCAACTGGACCTCGGCCACTTGTTTTTCGTGTTTTTTCAGGAAGGTATACGGAATACTCGGCCTTCCCAATCCGAGTGTCCGGTGGGGGTTGTGGTTCCTTTCAGTTCTTTTGCCGGCTCACCGACGCTAAATAGCGCCTCCAACATGGGCTCGTAGTCTAGATCCAAGTTCACACCTCCTGGCACAAGTACCCCAGTCTTGTGCCGGGAATTCGCCCGGGGGGGGGGTGTATTTACATTTCTCAAAGGAAACGGGGCGGTCTACTGTAGTTTCTTTAGGCAATCTTACCTCAAGGACTTGAGCCTTTGCAGCCCGGTCGATCTCAGCCTGCACCAGTTCGGCCAACTCCGTGAGTTGCTGCTTCTTCGCGGCTTGCTTCGATGCTTCCTCGTCGACAATAGGGTCTTCGCTCTTCGTGGCACAAGCACGAGCGGCAGCAACGTCATGCGGCGGTAGTGCAGCAGTAGTTATGCACGTCCACTTATCGATGCGCACGTGCACACGTATCATTACCGTATTGAAGTGTTGACCAAGTTTTGGTTGATTCTTCACGAGAATATCAACCGGGTGTCAGAAGCCTAGCCACATACGTGTAGCGCGAGTGCTTGGGTCTTATAAGGCATCGCACTCTATACCGGCACCTGCAGAACTTTTGTTCCCTTCACAACGGTCTGCTTGCTCTCACAAATCGAACACTGCGTTATTTCAAGGAGTACTTCGCTCTGCCTACCTCTTCGCTAGCTTGGTTAGGTCCTGCGCCCTCTGCACGTGCCGAAGCCGTCGCCTTTTCCCCGACGACCATGATACGCCGTCGATCGCCATCACCAATATTGGGGTCATTGATCAAACGCTGGTTGCTTTCCCTTCGCTTGCCTACCCCACCTTCACTCCCCCTTTGGGCTGTTTTCATATTTTGCGGCTGTTGTTGTTGCCGCAGCTGCAAGGGTTTTCGAGGAGTCATGGCATCGATGGTGCTGCAGTTGTTGTTCTCTCCGGCGGTCGCGTCGCTGCTTGCATTTATATTTCGAGCTTTGGTGTTTTCCTCCGGAGGCAATCCCCGGACCACGCCCTTTCCTCTGTCGCCCACACCCCGTTCGTCGTCGAGGCCAACCGAACGCCTAGAGCGCCGCGCTCCCATCCGGCTGGAAGCGGCCGGCGGCATCTACACGATAGATCGATCCTGCTGGTGTGTGAACAGCAGGGTGAGTCAGGTCAACACGTTGTTGTTTCCCTTGGTGTATTGGTCTCCTCTCCTGTTTTTCATGTGAAGGTGCACCACGTGCCATACAAGCGACCCGGTGCCTGCAGCAGCCCACGCGAAGCTCGCCTTTCAAAAGCTCCTACAAGTAAGCGCATGCCTGGTGCGCGCATGTCTACTGTCTCTACGTCGGGCAGCCGCCGGTCTCGTCTTCACTGCTGACCCCCCCCCCCTCTTGGAACTGTACGGGACGAAGCATAAAGAGGCGGCAAAGGGTCCAGCACGACACCCAGAACGGTGCAAGAAAGGGCTTTTTTCCGCGCGGCCCGCCGTGGCGGGGCCGGACTGGGCTGGAAAGGTGGACATGAAGCTCTCTCGCGGTGTGCCTCTTTGACGCGACCCTTTGGTCGAAACGTCGGAAAACTCGTTTTTCGGTTACATTGTACATAGACAGAGAAATACATGCCTCGAAAACCTTCCTACTGAACACCTCCTCTCACCGGGAGCGCGCCACGCGGCGAATGATGCACGCATACATATGTGCTACAGCTTTCCTGGTCGGGGACCCAGGCCACGCGCACAACACGCACGCACCACGTCGAGACCATGCACCACAGAATACAACTGCTTCGCTTCGCGGCTGCCGCCCTGGTGCTCGGCAGCTACAGCAGACGATCGAGCGCGTGTGCTCATGCTCCTTCAAAAAATGCTTGGCATGCCAAACGGCCGCGAGCTCATTTGGCACAGCAGCAGCAGCAGCAGCTGCAGCTGCAAGGGCGAGAAGGATCCCGAGGCTTGCGCAGCGCCAGCTCTCAGGATCTCCGGGCGAAGGGTCCTCCGGTACCTTGGCTGGCGTCGGTGGCAGGCCTTCGCGGTGGCGGATTAACGTCGGCCGAACAAGCAGTTATATGTAGTTCGAGAGGGGGAGGAGGACGGACGGTGGCCGTGACCTCGAGCCTCCGCAGGTCGCTCAGGGTGAGTCTTGGCAGTAGCAGCATATCACAACGGAACCTTCTCTCTTATGGCACGACGTCATCGATGATATATCAGTGATAGATCGGCAACCTCCAGGGAGGGTTGATGGGTGGCTGACCCGCCGCCGCGCAAACGCGGCAGCGTTCGGGATGGCGCGGTCAAGTACGACAGAAATTCGACCGTATGTGTACGTTCTGATACAACTTCATGTTGAGATAAACATGAACGGTAACCTGAAAGCTGCTGGCACTGCACTACATAATCGACCTGGCCACGTCAATGTCATGCTTGTTGTGTTGTTCTCTGGGGCAGCGGATAGACAGCAGTGCTGGCAGGACGCAACCCAGCCGATTCTTGTGTTCGCCTATCAATGAAACCTTTATTGGTGGATGGGAAGTAAAATTAAAAGTCGACAGGAGCTTTGTCCGAAACGCATGCACAAACTCGTATCTTTTCAAATCAACGCCGCCCTTTTGTGATACCACAGCAGCAGTGAATGTACGCGGTCGCTGCGTTCCCCAGCCAAAGGCCAAAGCCACAACGCGAAAAGTAATTCCACCGCCTAAGTTGGAGTGCCAGTCAATCTCACCACTGTCACGGCCAAGACCCATCTTCCTGAAACACCAAAACTCCGATACACCAAATGCTGCTTGTTAGCTAGCTGCTTGTAGGATTAAGGAATAATATAAACACACACAGAAAGACTACCCATTCGAGATATACCCACAGTCGAACGGGATGTGGTGGAGCCTTTTCAGTGAGTGGAGGGAAACCGGCTGGGTACTGGACTTATTTCGAGTCTTTTTATGTCTATACACTGATGCTTTATACCAGTGATCCCAGCTGGTGCTAAGTACAAAAACATCTGTCTGTATAGGTAACTTACATTTTACAATACATCCCCTGTAGTTCTCTACTGGGTCAACGACAAAATATCGGGGAGAAACCCTCCGTTGTGTCGTGTATTGTAAAATGTAACCTTCACAGGGGACACGGCGCAGTGTCTATTGACAGCTTGCTGGTTTATTAAACATACTAGGAATAAGGAATAATATTGTAAAATTCATGGAAGGTGGAACAAAATCTACAGCAGTACATCACCAGCCCTACATCACTCGTTTTTTAAATCTACAGGTTTTTGAATTTCACGGACAGTAGGTGTTTCCCGCCGTTTTTTTGAATTTACAAATCGTTTTTGATCCTTTGGGGTAACGTATCAGGGATGTTTATACAGCAGTAGATGAGAATGGTATACCTGGTGCATGGTAGGTAGGGCATACCATTCAGGTTGTATCATGTTAGCTTGTTTCTTGTTATGTTGGGTGTTGGTAAACACCATCAGTAGAGCATGGAAAGTTTCCAAATGATATACATCTTATGTGGTGGTTGTTGTCAAATTCCCTGGTGTTCCTCAACGCGGTTTGTCGAGATATCTTGTCGCAACCATGTCGTAATCACGTCGTAGGATGTCTTCTTTTTCAACATCAAAACCTTCTTCTTTTTTTTTCTTAATATGACACAACGAAACCATCTCTAAATTTATCATAGAAAAGAGTCTGAGACAGATTAGCAATGGATTCGTAGCGTCAGAAAGTACCTGTATGTCTACGATTTCCCAGACAGCATATAGGGACATCTCCCCTGCGGGTAACAGGCTCAACAAGACAGTTTGGTAGCTGTCTTGTGTGTCTCATATATGTTATGTTGGGAAGGTGCAGATGATATGTGTTAGGTACTGGTCGGGCGTTTTGTGTGTGGCACCCTTTTAGTCGTAGGGCATGCAATCTCCCTCAGTTCACAAACGTATTTTCAATGTGGTACGCGTATGTACCGGGTATTTGGGTATGTATATGTGTGGATACATTTCGGAGTATGTGCGGACACACGGGCGTGGTCTCACCATTCCTTAATTCTTTTTCAACATCAAAACCAAACCAACGGCCTATTGCGTGTTGCTGGTTATTGTTGTAGTTGTAGTTGTTGTTGTTGTTGTCTTGACAATCAAAACGCTTCCGGTCTCCTGCACAGTACCTTCAAACACCCGTACCGGTCCAAGTGAAGGGTCACAGGCCATCTTCCCAAGGAAGGGTAGAATACACCCTCAAGAATCAAAGAGAACAAGCAAGGGACCCAGAAAATGGAACACATCACGATAACAGGACCTACGATACCATAAAATAAAAATAATCAACCTACGATACCATAAAATAAAAATGATCAAGATTATTTGGCCCCTGACAACGGTCAGATGTCACCGGCAACATGTCGGGTGAAGGAGATGTAGGAGATGCGTCAGTAGAGCCCATCGCGCCGGCTCGGCACGCGATGCCAGAGCAAATACGTCAAAGATTCACTACTACAATCAAGACAGAACATGGCGAAGTTCCATCCGTGTACATACATAAGCAAGCGCTTCCTTCGTTGCGGATTCTCTTGATTGATGGTGCCCCGGCTCCCCAACCCCCGCGCCCCCCAACCCCCCCCCTCGCAGATATGCGGGCTGTTCGGCCTCTCCTACCTGTGCTCGATGCTGTTCAACATCAACAACAAGCGGGCCCTGATGCTGGTGCCGTTGCCTTGGACCTTCGCGGCGCTGAACCTGTCGATTGGGTCCGTGATCGCGCTGCTCTCGTGGTCGATCAAGGTCGCTCCCTGGCCCCGGATCACCCGGCAGGTACATGGCAGGCGTGGTTTTGCTGTCTGCTGTAGGGGGGGGAGGGGGGGGAGTTGTAGATAGGAGATGGGCGTGGTTTTGTTGTCTGCTGTAATCGGTGAGGGTTGTAGAAAGGAGAGGAAATAGGGTCAATTAAGACGGCTTTCCCCCTACCATAGGGTCACACGGAGGGTGTGCGTTGTTTCTGTAGTCTGCTGGGGAGGGTTGCAGAGAGGAGAGCAGAGGAGGAAAGGTCAATTGAGACGGCGTTCCCCTTGGCCTAGGATAAGCCGGCCGGTGTGCGTGGTTTGTGGTCTGCCGAAGAAAGTGTAGGCGGGGATATAGCGGAGAGGAGGAAGAGGAATTGAGACAGCTATCCCTTCCGGATGCCTTTCTATTTGTCCATGGAAGCAAGCTAGAGCAGTAGATGACCTCACGCTGCCGTATGAAATGTGTGACCACCGGGCGTGGGTGTTGTGTGTGTGTGTGGTATCGTCCCATGCGGGTGTGTCATCTCTTGGTCTTGTACAGCAGACTGCTTGGTGCCTCAACTCAAACCTCCCCTCCTCCCTTCGGCTCCCTCCACCTTCGTGTGTGTTTTTCTTTCGCCTTCTCGCCTCGCCCCCCCCCCTCCCCCCGGAACGAAAGGACTTGGCCGTGCTTGTCCCCATGGGCTTCCTGCATGCCGTATCCCACCTTACCGTAGTCCTCGGCCTCGGCGCCGGAGCGGTGTCGTTCCTGCAGACCGTCAAGGCTGCGGAGGCGTGCTTCACGGCGCTCCTGTCGTACCTCTTTCTGGGACAGGTGAGAGAGAGAGCCAACGAAACGAACGGGGGCGAACAAACAGAAAAATGGCGGCTTGGGATCCGTCCCGCAGCCGTGTAGCACGGGCGGCACACCCATGGTTTTGCTTTTGCTCCGTTGGGGAGGGAGGTTCATGGAAATTTTGAGGGGGGGGTACTGCTGTCGCAGGCTGTTTTTTGTGGCCAGCTGTTTCTTGTTTTTCTCCGTTTTTGTTTTTCACCCTGAGTTCTTTTCATCCAATAATTACTCTCGTTTCCCACGTTTTCTGGAAGGGCGTTGGTGCCCAACGGCGGCGACATGCGCGAGGGTGTTTATTTCCTCTACCTCTATTTTTGCGGCATATGCCTAACGCACTGCTGTTTGTCTCTGTCTCTCTCTCCTCCTTCCTCCTCCTCTCTCGTGACGTGCTTGCTGCACCGTGCTCCCTGCGGTGGTCAGACGATGCCCTTGCCCGTGTACCTAACGCTGCTGCCCGTGGTCGCTGGCGTCGCGCTCACTTGCTGCGGCCAAGGGCTGAGGTTCAGGTGCGTGTTGGTGGCGCACGTATTGTCGCCGATGCGGGGTGTCTAGTGACTTGCGTTGGCATGCCGCTCGCGGCAACGTCTGATTCCACGCTCCCGCCCAGTTTTGTTGTTGCGAACGGCCGGTTGTCATCCTTTGCATGTTTTGATAGTCGAACGAATTTTTCCCTTGTGCTCGTTCGTAGCAGTGACGAACGGTCCACACAATAGCCATCGCGTTCCCCGTCTAGCGGTGGCATCAGAATGACACCTTTCATCCACTTAGTAGCATGTATCTCGCGAAAACTCTACGAGGACGCGCTGCAAAGAGTAACCTTCATCCGCCTTGTGGTGTTGGTGACCTTCGTTAGGCGGGAGGGGAACACGAATCGGGCCCGACTCGTTTTGCGACGCACTCGTGACTAGATTAGGCGAAAGACAAGACCGGATCAGAGCCAACTTTGTGTTGCTACACGCTCGTTGACGGCCTTGTCTGCAACGCGACACGCACACGAAACCTTTGCCTTACGCCGTCCATTCCAGAACAGCGCCCACTAACAACAACAACAACAACAACTGCTGCAGGCCGTATGCATAGTAGGGTACACCCCAACCGACCCCCCCCCCCCCCCGCGCTCCGCCCCCGAAATGGTCTCGCACTCCGGAGCTGGGTGGGTCTTCTGTCGGCCCTCGTATCCCACCTCCCAAACGCCATGGGGAACGTGCTGATTGTCAAGAACATCGGCCCCGCCGCCGCCGCCGCCGGCCGCCGCCGCAGCAGCCTCAAGACGGAAGCCTCGCCGCCCCGATCCTCAAGCGCCTCCTTCCTCCGGCCTACCGCCGCCAACACCGCCGCGGACCCCTCCTTCTTGAGCAACCCTGTGGCCAGGAGCGCGTCGGCCCTCGCCAACACGCGCGCCGGGGGGGAAGCGACCACCAGGAGAAGGCGGGAGAGCGGGCTCGCGAGCCTCGCGCGCGGGGACACCTACCGCCTCCTCACGGTCGTCGGGGCGGCGCTGATCATCCCCGCCGCCGCGTACATGGAGCGCGACTCCTGGCCGAGGCTGTGGCGAGCGGCGATGGACGCGACCGCCGCCCTCGTTGGGCGGACAACCTCCGCCGACGGCTCGCCTCCTCTCCTGGGGGAAGCTCTGCTGAGCGCGGCGGGGTCCGGTGGGGACTCGGCGGCGGCCGCGGGGGGGAGGGTTTCCGCGGTTGCGGAGGCGGCGGTGGAGGCGGCGGCGAGGGGGCAGTGGGCGGAGGCGTTCCGGCGGGCGGTGCTTGCCGGGGTCTCGTTCAACCTGTTCTACGACCTGACGTTCAGGCTGCTGGGGCAGCTGCACCCGGTGACACACGCCGTGGGGAACACCATCAAGAGGATCGTGGTCATCGCCGCCGGAGCCTTCGCCTTCGGGGGGGATCTGGGCGGCGCTCGCGGCGTCTTGGGGTCGGCGCTCGCGGTCATCGGGGTCTTGGGGTACAGCCTGTCGAAGGCGCGGTGTAAGACGACGACGGGTAGCGGCTGCACCGGTTGAGTGCCGGCGTTGCAGGGGGTTGTAATTTTTGAGAGCTGAGGACTAGTCATGCATATACATAGAGAAAGTAGGGAGTTTCGCCTTATTTTTCAAGTGGTGTTCGTGTCCATAGAAGGAGGTAGGGGTGGGGTGGGGGGGGGAGTGGAGTGGTGACCCCGACACGAGCTGTATTTTTTGGTGGTTGTTTTTTTTGGTTGGAAGATGTAGTATACGCGCCCGGAGTCCCTCTCCCCGTGCATTTAGATTCGCCGTATGTACAACGGTATGATGGTCGACGGACGCTATGTACAGCGTAGAAGAAAACGAGCCACAGCTGCTCTACCCGTAGGGTCGTGTTGCAAGGTTTTGGCGAATCTAGGTGTTTCTGTGTGTGTGTTTTCCCGCTTTTTCAGGGTCCCCCCTTCGCTCTGGGGGCCGCACGCTTTGCAGACACCCACCTTTCAAAGATACCATTGGCACCCACCATGATTATCCACCATAATTGTTAACCCGTTGTGGATGTTATAGTATAAATCATGCTTGTATCATTGGTACCAATTTTAAGTATTTTTCTTTTGTTTCTGTGTTGTGTCCAAAAAGTCATGGAGGTTTCGAACCGCTGCTCACCGTCCTCCCCTCACTCTCACGACGACGGTGTTAAGACATTTTCCCGCAAGTCGTGGTCGTATTCACGCGACTTCACCTCGAACGCTGTGTGTAGGCCCAGAAGTCGTCTTATCGGGGGCTCAAATGTACTTGGTGGTGTCGTGGCGTTTTTCTCACTGCTACAGCTGTTCCAGTTGATGAGCAGGGTGGTGACGTACGACATGACGAGGATGGGTTATTTTCTTTAAATAGCGGGGCATTGGCGGGCAAATTTCTGTTTTTAAGGGGGTTAAGTGTCGCTCTTGGATGCGGAGGGAAGTTCGAGCCGAGGGGTAGCCCACGTTTTTGACAAGCGCAGCCAGCTTGCTCTGCACACAGTACAGGGGGGGAAAGGGTAAAAGGTTCTTCTTGTTTTCTCTTGAGGCATGGCCCCTGCTCGTCTAAGATTACAAGCAAACGGGTATGGTATTATAGAGGCTGCAGGGATTTGAGAGAAGAAGCACGGGCAGCAATTAAGCTAAGGTTTTGGTGTGTTCCCGTGTATGTCGTGGATGGGTGCGCTTTCGGAGGCGGTTACGGGATATATAGAGGCCAGAACTGTAAGATATGTTTATGAAGACGACGACAAGAACAACAACAGCACGCAGTATGAGCAGCAACAGGGATCGGATACAGCAGCACACGATCGCGCACGACAGCCCTCCAGAAAATTGTGTTGCCCGGAGTCGATACGGTTTGTTTGAGAAGCTCTCGCGAGGTCTTGGGGGCGGCTCGATGGAAGCGCCCACCCTCCTCCTGGTGCAAGGCTCGACGACCAAACGTAGGAGACTTCATGCACATTCGTCCGGATGGATTTTGATTCCACGGCAGCAAGCAGCAGCAATCGTTTTGTCACTGGTCGGCTCGTTGCAGGCACCCTCCCTCCTGGTACCTCCTGGTACCTACAACGCTCGACGACCAAGACGTACGTACAGATTTACTGCACGGGTGACCCTTCCGGAAAACATGGTGTTTGCGTTTGTTTGCCATCCCTTCGTTTCTGGACGCAAAAAACGCAGTGTTGTTACGCCTTTCTCTGTGTTTGGTGTGTGGACGAACCAGCCAGGGTTAAACCCCGGGAGTTTGGGCGGGGGCGTTTTTCCTCCACCTTCCGCACACTGCTCTGCCTTCATGTAGCCCCTGGCTTGCCGCCATCGCCGTCTACATAGATAGATAGCTCGTACGGATGAGTATTTGATCTAGTCGCCGCACACCGCACGGCAGCAAATAACCGCGGCAAGTTGTTCCCGGCTGATTGTGTGAGCCCAGCAACCTGCACTATAGACTACCTGTGTAGGGGTCGTGCAGAGGTCCGATCCTGAGCGTCCTCCGGGGGGTGTCCCACTCGAATCGGTTGAAAATGAAACGCCCGAGGGAACAAAATGCTCACCATATACCGTTCAGAAGGCGGCATATTTTCTTTCTCTCTACGTTGTAACGCCGGGATTGGCCGCGGCTCGTGTCCGGTGAGATTCGCACGCGATGCAAAGTACAGCAAGCAGTAGCTGTCGTCAATGGTACTTTTCAACCAAATCTAGAACAAACAAAATTTGGAAGCCGGCGGGCAGGTGCAGGTGCCCAAAACGTTCCCGTTGTTCAACCTCACTACTACTGTAGATCTACGTGCGTCGACCAACCGCCAAACCTACCTATGTACCAACACGAACAAATGGACCTTCCCACACGGAATCCAGGGCACCCTCAGCACCGTTTCCAACGCATCCCACCACGTACGTCCAAACTACAACAACAAACCGTCCCTTCACCATACAACGCCAAGACAAACAAAGCCACCACAACCGCCAAGAACCGGGGGGGGGGGCACCACAAACATCAATATGGGTGGGGGTGGGGGTGGGGGGGGGGACTTGCATACCCTCCTCCTAGAAACTTGGTTCGGGCGCTCTGCGACAGGTCTTTCTTATCGCTTTCGCTCTCCCTTGGTAGTCTTTCTCGCGTTCTTGGCCATCTCCTTTCTCATCTTGTCCGCTTCCAGCGCTATCTTGTTCTGTAGGGCGGTGGCGTGGTGGGTCTTCTTGATGGCCTCTCGCTGGCGGGAACAAGAGTCAGTCGCACACGAGAGAGAAAGACATACGAGAGGGATACAAAGAAATAAGAGGCAGGGAGGACCGAGTCACAACACAAGAGAGGGATACAAACACGAGACCAAGAGGACCAAGTCACACTCAAGAAAAATAGTACCAAGACACAGAAAGGACCAAAGATACACCAGACCATGGCCTTGAGAAGCGTTTTCTGTTTTCAACCGCTGGCGGTCTTTCATTGGCGGCCGGTAAGCGCGGTCGACGCTAACAATTGAACACAAACACACGAGCAAAAAGTGTTCGTGTTGTACTCTGCTACAAGACTTGAGACTGACGGTTTTTCATTGATCATCAGCCGGTTAGCGCGGTCGATGCTAGCACTAACACACACACGAGTAAGAAAGTATTCGTGTTGTATCCCGCTACAAGACTGGGACTGACGTATTTTTGATTGTTCAGTCGGTTAGCGCGGTCAATAACAAAAATAATAACACATACACACACACACCTTGGCGGCTACTTCCTCTCGGACCCGCTCCTTGTTCAGGTTCTTGCCGTACGCCTCCCCCAGAGAATCTCCAGCCTGGATGGATTCAACGGATCAATCGTTCGAAACGTGATCGACAAAAAAAAAACAGCGCCAAATGCAAGACACGGAGCCGTCCACTCAGTTGTGTAGTGTCGTCTCGATACGGCCGGGACGGACGTCATCCGGCTCTTGCGTCCGAAACCGACCATACGGGGTCTTCGAGGAACGACAGGAACGACGGCCAAGCCGGACGAACTTTCGTTGGCACCCTGTCCAGAACAAGCATCTCCAGGTCTTACGCGACGCAGTGCAACCAAACAGCGCAGCAACTGACACGCGCGGGGGGGGGGCGGGGGGCGGGGTACTAACACCGGGGTGTGTGTGGCTGACGCGGAATAGAGAAAGTGAGGGCAAAACCTCCTCAAGTCTCACCAAATTCTCTCCTTCCCCTTCTTCCGGCGGCACGCAGTTCCGGCATGAAACCCCCCATCACACCTCCCCTCCCACAACGCACGCCTCCTTAACCAAGACTCACCGAACTCCCTCCTTCCCCGTCCCCCCCTTCCTCCGGCGGCAGGGGGTTGCCCTCCTCATCGACTGGGTCGGAGTCGTAGCCGTACTCGCCCAGGAGCCTGGCGCGCTCCGCCTGCTCCTCCGCCGACCTCTGCACTCTCTTGTCCGCCTTCGCCCTCCTGGCCTTGTCGGCCTCTTCTACCTGTCTTCGCTCCTCCTGTGGCAGGGTTTCGCGCCAAGGTTACGATACAGTAGGGGGTCCGAATAACCGCACTGCCCTAAATAACGGCACCAAAACCTCTTGTCACTACCCACCGATATTGAGGACCCCCCGACTGCATAAAATTTTAGCAGAGGGACTGCGTACTAAATAGGAGGGTCAAGTCCGGTTCCAGCAGGGGCCACGGGCGCGGGTTGGGGGATAGGGTTAGGGATTTATTGAACCCCCCCCTCCCTATTTCATAGAAACAATAGCCTCACGAAGGCGGTTCTTGCTTCTTCATTCCGGTCAACCAACCCGGGTTCTCCGGCCGGCGAGGTTATTGATGGTTCTTCTTGGGTGCGAAGCAGCTTCTTCTCCAAAGCTGAAAAAAAAAAAAAGCTCCGTCGTTGAACGAAACACACGAAATCCACTCGTTGTGCAAAAAAACTCATTGCGGATACGGGCCGGGACGCGAGCTTTATTACCTCTTTCTTGCTGTCCATTTCCTTCTGCTTCGCGGCTTTGGCAGCTTCCTTCTCCTTCTCCTCGTGCTCCACCTTCATGTCCCACCTCTCGTTGAGGGCGGAGCGGAACTCACCTAGGTCGTTGTCCTGTAAAAACCACGCAAAAAGGCCGGCGGGAAGTGGACAGGCTTAAACAGGCTCAAATAAGACCAGTATCGAGCACAGGTCCCTCAATTCCTCACATCCGTAGAGAAATCAAACGCACGCCCTTCGAAATGGGGTATTATAGTATCTCGAAAGGGTAGTCTTTCTTCGACATGTTGGAAATAAAATACAGAAAAACAGAAGTGAAAAACATGAATCATTGTATGTAGCAGTATGTGAGACGACCAGCACTGCTGGTGAGGCTACACAAGCAGGGGGCGGCATACGGGTAGCAGCTGCAAGGGAGCGAGACGTGTGCAATAGGCAGGCGTGTGCAGGATGGCATGCACGCTTGTATGTTGCACCGTTCACAATACCATCATACAAGCAAGGGGTCGAGCGTGTGCCTGAAAGCAGTGTTGCCGACAGCGACCGCGTTTGCCAGAGGTTTGAGGCTCGCCGTGTCTAGAAAAAAAAAAAGAACTCGTGCTGTATGTACCGAACGCAGTCTTGAGGGCGATGAAGTTCGACACCGCTCGGGGCCTGTGGCTCAACCATTAGGGAGGTCTCCAACAAAACATAGGTATATCTAGGTGCCCGATATTCCGTCCCATGACTAATTGCTCGTGGCTAGATGCATCCTACTTGGGTATCATACATTTTTGTCTCCACAGGCCATGCATGTACTGTACCTTCCCGCAAGGACACACAACAGTAACGGTCACGACGCACGACTCCCCCAGAACAAAATAATAACCAGTTGTCCGGGCTTAGGGGTATCAAAACCCTCACCCTCACAAGAACGAGTTTGGCACCGAGAAACAACGGGTCGACATTTTTTGCTCGACGTTCTTTCTCGAAGTTTTGATTGATTAGGCATCACAGGAAGAACGATCGAGAGAGAGAGAGAGAGAGAGAGAGAGACGAAATCCGGTGTCTTGTCTTCCTCCTGCGTGACTCCGCGGCTGCTGCGGCCAATAACAACGTGCAGCCTGACCCCACAATAGTTGGGAGGAAAACACATACACACACACCGTGACATCTTGTCGTCACAAGATGTACCAGACACGATTTTTCTCCCAGAAGCCAAACCTTCATCTCGTTCAATACTGGGTTGGTTGTTTACTACTGTACTGATACAACGCTTCACCCCGCTTCACTACTCTAACGTCCATATCGTAAATCGAAACTCTTGCGTTCGACAAGTCTGTGAAGACCAACTTCTTTAGACGCTCCAAAATGAACATGATACAACAGCCTAACCTTAACCGCATACCTCTTCGGCAGCCCCAGAGAGAATCTCAATGACGGACTCTATTCTTTCCTCCTGGGGGTTATCCTCGTCTCCCATGATGCCAGTCACGTACCCCCCGTACACCTGTGTAATGTGAGAGTACAAATTAGTCGTCGTTCGCCCGGAATGGCATGGGCAGAGGGAGAGAGAGCGCGACGTCGACTATCACCTCCCTCCTGGTGCATGCATCATCTGGTCATCGACGAGAGTGGAAACGTGTTGGATGGGTATCGCTATAGTAGAGAACAGCCGCATCAGATCCAGTTGTGCACCACAATGCCGTCAACCGTATGCATATTATTGGTACGCAGTTTCTCTCTACATGCGGACTCGTGACTTCTTCGGAGCTACAGCGGGTGAGACAAGCCCATACCCCACCCACACACGCGGGTGGCAAACGTCGGCGCTTTCCAATGGAACGCAAGGAGAAGGAAGGGTAGAGGGTACTCACCTATTATAGGTATTTTAATAGGTATTTGCGAGAAAATAGGGACCAGAATTCAGAGGAAATTGTGTGGAAAGGGCTGTTTGATAACTCCGATCTCAACAACGACGGTGGGTATAAAGAGGTCTCGAAGAGTATGCTAGCAATCGGACAGGAACCAACCCAAGTACAGGGATGTCATGTGCAGCAACAAAGCTGCCTGGTACAAGTATTGAGTCTTCTCGTATGTACTAGGATTCAGTCGAAGGACTTTTTTTTTTTGCAACAAGGTTACGCCGCATTTTCGCCGATCTCCGCATCTCGGCCGCAATCTGCAATCCACTACAGCAGTATACACCAAGCTTGCAGCGGTTCCAAAGGAGAAGAACGTCTTCAAAGGACGATCCCACCATGTGGTGGCCACATACGAGAGGTCGGCCGGAGGGCGGTATCATCAGTGGCGGCGGTGCCTCGCACCACCAAACAACACCAGTAAGGGTGGAAACTGCAACAATACGCGTGTGTGCGCGCCTGCTGCTGTCTGTGAGACATGTAAACTTGCGCCTGGACATTGGGCGACTCCAACAATTGCAACACCATGCGCAAACACTACTATATAGATTCAGCCGTCAGAGGGTACTCCTGCCCGCCAATATCAGTGTTGGGTGCGCTTATGAGAGGAAGCTCAAGTGCCCTCACGACATCATGCGACCAGCAAGCTTGAATCTTTTTTATCACAAGGGTGTGCACGGAGATTACACGAACGTACCTCGGCATCGAGACCCAGAGCATCTAGCTTGTCCACCAGCCATGTGTCGAAGCTCGAGTCTCCACCACCCTCCGCCATCCTCGTAACCCTTCGTGTGTGGTAGATCAAGACACAAGCGCGAAGTGCCAGAGTGCCAGTCTGCAGTGCTGGGATGCTGGGATTGGTTCAAATTGGTTGATTGATTGGTTCGGGCGGGGGGGACGCGGCCCGCAGTTGAACCATACCCCCGCCTACCTGGCTGTTGGAAATTATCCAGTTGCCGAGGCCTCTCGCCCTTAGCAGCCCTGTCGCAGGACACCAGGCACACCTCACGAGAGGGCTTGACCCAACATACTCCGCAGAGGTCCGTCGCAAAGTCTCATCGAGGACACCAGGCTCGCCAATTCCCTGTCATTTGCTCCTCTGCGAGCTTGTTTCCTTACAGTTTCCCAGCCCGCAGTGATACCACCGCTGCTGCTGTATGCATACATTGGTTCAAATTGTAAACGGTGCTTCGGAACCAGGTTGTCTACAGCAGTGTTGCAAACACTCCAGCACTGCACTATCTTGAATGCACAACGGAGCCTCTCTGGCTGCGTGTGTTCGAGGTCACACAGAGGCCGTAAGCAAGGAAGCGCACAAGACCTGCCAGCGGGAGCACCTGCTCTGGTTTTCGAGAGCTTTTCAGAGGGCCCAGAGAAAGAGCGTCGTCTACGGGTGCTGCTGCTGTATGCATAGTACTACTGCTGTGTGGGGCGGGCCTGTAGATCGAGAGACGACATCAAGCACGTTGTTCGCAGCAACCGCTACAACTCACAGGCTTCTTCTGCTACTAGTGGGCGGGAAGGAACCATGGACGGGGCAGGCAGCAGCGGCGGCGGCGGCGGCGGCGGGCCGGAAGCTGACTACGACGACGAGCCTGTCCTCAAGTATCAGAGGATGGGGGCGGACGTCGGAAAGCTTCTCGGTCCTGTAGAGGAGGAGGAGGCGGGGGAGAAGGAGACGGTCGTGAGGATGGCTGTGCACGATACCTGCTTGGTGAGTCGTCGATGTGTGTGGGGCGTGTGTAAGTCTGTGCAACCTCGCTTCTGGGAGATTCCGCCTCCATGCCGTGGGCGGGTGATAGTCGTGTGCAACGTGTTGTTCGGTCAGTTCAGCGAGAGCTTTTGAGATAGTCTATAATCCGTAATCCATGGTGCATGTGCGCAAGCAGCCCATGTATTATATCTCGGCATCTGGGTTACAGGTGTTGGGTTGCTTCTATCATGCTACACATGCTGCCGTCATAGGCAGCAGTATCAGAGGGGTCGGACAAAGAGCTGCTGGATAGAATAGGTCTCGATCATCGTGAACTTCCGTGCGTGTACCGTTTTGGGAGCGCTCCACACCGCACTGATGTGTATGGTACGCGACAGGGCGAAGTACAGGCAGGCCGTGGTGTAGCAGCAGTGTCGTGCAATATCTCTGTCGAGACGCATGGCTGCTGCTCTTTCCAACGCTGAGCGGAAATATCTTTGTGGCTTCGGTACGGCGTTTCCACCGCCATCGATTGCTCGCGTGCCAGCTTCAGATACGACCTCTGTCAGGGCTAGAACCCCCCCCCGCCCACGTGTAGCGACACTCGATCGTGAGCGGTAGTTGCCGTATGCATGTGGGTATCTCAAAACATGCTTGGTGCTATTGAGCACGATACTACCCCCTTCCGCCTGATGGAGATTCTCGCGTCTGGGATTTGTATCTAGACGTCGTTGTCCCCGCATCACTTCCAATGACCTTTCTTCGTGCAACAAGCCCCGTGAATCCAGCAAAGCTTGACACTGCTCTGCTGTACTTGTATCAACGGCTCGAACTTCGATACCCTCCCCCCCCCACGCCCCCATCAATGTCGTGTGACTGCATCCGGCGCATGGCCGCCCAAACCAACCAGGTGTTTGGGATGGCGTCGGGAATGATCTTGCTCACCGACTACCACGGCAACGAGGCCCGACGGCTGAGACCTCACACGAAGGCCGTGACGGACCTCAGCATGGACATCACCGGGGACTTCCTCGCTAGGCGAGCCGTTGTAGATATGTACCAGTAGATACAGGACAGGACTGGGGGGTGGTGGAGGGCGGACGGGTGGTTGGTGATATTTCGCATGGTTTTGTTGTACCGACTATTATGATACATAGCTTATTCTCTGTGCTGGAGTCGACAGCAGTAGTTCGGCGCGTGGTATCCATTGTACGGGTGTGACCGAGGTTTTGTCTCGTGGCTTGGGGCGCTTTCATCCGTGGTGCATTTCTGTTGTACTATTGCTCTTGTCCTGGCATCTTTCATTGCAAATACGTTGGATTTTGGAGAAGGCCTCCACCTCTGAGGCCGGAGGTCCCACAGGGTCGGCGCGGCAACGAGAGTCTGTCAATGATCCAGAGGCGTCGCTGCTGCGTAGTCCACGTTTCGTTAGACCTGATGCTCGTGGGTTCACAGGAGATGCCAAGCTGCCTCATCTTGGCCTTCCCTCCCCCCGTTTTTTTTTTTTTTCCCAGCTCCTCGGAGGACGGAACGGTGGTCGTTACCGGGCTGCAGCCGGGGGCGAACGGCGAGCACACCGCGCCGGAGGTGTACAGCTACGGCGCGAAGTGGCCCATGCTGGCGGTGAAGCTGGACCCTCTCTACGCCAGAAGGTACGCGCGGGGAAGGCGTTTACCGTAGGTTTCGCGCGGTACCACACACCCTGAACCAATTTTCAAAGCTCGATTGCTCTTGCAGAAAACTAAATAGCGAGAACATGGGTGGGTTCATTGGAACCCTTCTCGTCGACAGCTTTCCGAAAACGTGTCGCTTGATTTCGGCATCCTCTTGGTCGTGGAGTAATGGAGCTCGAAAAATCGGTCCATGGGGTGTGGTATATTACGTCATGCAACCTACGGTACATGCGTCGCCGAGGTTGCGCGGTACGAGCACACGCCCGGGACGAACGCATGCGCGGATGAACAGGGAACATGTTGATGTCCCAGCTCAGGCATCATGTTGCTGAGAGTCTTGGGGTGGGTGAGTGGGGCGCTGTTGCGGTACGCGGCACGTTTTGCGGGGTCCGGGGGTAAAAGTTCTTCCGCGCAATGCAGGTTAACGTCCTTTTGTTTTCGCCGTTGTTTACATACGTTTGCTTGCTTTCCGTGCGCTGCGTGCCATCTGTCTGCAGGAAGGACAAGACCTTCGTGGCGGGCGGCTCGGCGGGAAAGCTGCTGCTGAACAAGAAGGGTTGGCTGGGGCACGACGAGGTGGTTCTTCACAAGGGGGAGGGGCCGTTGTCCGCCATCGCCTGGAGGTGCGTGCAGTGAAGGAAGTGAACAAAAAAAAGTGAACAAAAAAATATGTACTTGTGACGTCGGTGCTCTGACGTCTGTTTTGGTTGTGTCGGCATCGCGCCTGTGTTAATTTTGACGCTTGCGACCCGTCAATCGCGCTGCCACGCCAACGCTGGCGGGGGAAGTAAGCCCCCACGAAAACGCGTCACGTAGCTAGCAGGCATGCCCACATTTCGGGCGTTGTTTTCTTGCAGACGGGGGTCATGTGAAGTAAGAAGGATCAACAGATACATATAAATTTACATACATTTGTGCAGGCGTGTGTTGGTGGCTGGCTGCATGTGTTTGACGTTGGGGGCTTTTTGAAGAGGTCGTGCGTGTTTGGCTTCTCCCGCGTTTTTTATTCCTTCCCACGTCGTTTGTTCCCCGCTTTCGGTTGTTACTCTTTGTTATCGTCGTTGTTGCCGTGAACTGGCCCGTTGGCATCGGACGCTCACGCTAACCCCCCAGATCTTTCGTTTTTGTGCTGCTGTGGCAATTACTGTTGTTGTGCTGTGGCTGTTGACGTTGGTGGTGGTGGTGGTGGTGGCATTGCGACACAGGGGACCACTAGTGGCCTGGGCATCGGACGGCGGCCTCAAGATCATGGACGTCGACAAGGGGAAAGGAGGGGAGCGAATCAGCTACGTCGACAAGTGAGAGGGAGCCGTTACACTCATGACATCATTCGTGAACTGCGTGCCCGCTCCCCTCGGCGTTTTAATCCATACACGCAACCTGAAAATCTAGGAAATCCACTCATGATCGTTTTCATGAAGCAGGTCTGGACCTTTCGCGAGGAACAAGGAAGGTAGGTGCTTCGTGAGAAGCCATGGTTGACCTGTCAAAGACCCTCTGTGACAGCCCCCTACCCCCCCCCCCCCCCGCCCTTTTTGGCGAGTGTTGATCTGCGGAGTCCCACACATTAGACAACGCCCTTTCTGACTCTGGCCTAATTTCAGAGCACAAGTGGTGCGTGCGTGAGTTGTTGTTGCTGGCTGTGCTCTTGTCTACGTTGGGCGTCGATTTAAGGCTGGTGTTGTGGGTGGACCAGGGGGGATGCAATGCTGAGTTAGTTAAGCATGAACTCTCGGTGTAGAGGTGGGCATCAATACGAACATTTTTGGTAACAGGTACTTTTCGTGTGCCTGGTGCTTTTGTCGCCCGGCTAGATTCGTGAGGTTGGTCAAAGGTGAAAAATCAACAGTATAAACAGCTCCGAGGTCTGCAAGATCACCCCCCTGCGGTTGTTGGTTTTCTTCCATGCCGACGCCACATCCCCCCGCGCTTTGTGTGCGTGCCCCCCTTTCAGGCCGCGGTCTCTGGTGGACTTCAAGGAACACGAATGCCGATGCCACATGCTGTGGGAAACCCCGACCGTGAGTCGTGTTTATCTCGGTGTAGGGTACTGCCGTTGTTGTTGTGTTATCGAATTTTAGGTAGAAAGGACAACACGGAGGTATACACGGTGTTATCTTCTGGGTTGTTGTATTGTAGTTGTTGATTGTGATGATGATGGTCAATGTCCATGTGTGAGTGTGGTTGCTGTTGCCGATCTTGTCGGGTGCCCTCCGGGCACACAGGCTAGGCGCGAGAGAGACACTTTTTTATACCTTTCCCGCGAGAGCAGCAAAGGACGTTACCACCCCAAGTTCCTGGCTTCTCACCCCCCCCCCCCCCAATCACAGCGCCTGCTCGTTGGCTGGGGAGACACGGTAATGGTCCTGCAGATCCTGGTCCGCGAGCCCAAGTACCAACGCGGCGGGAGCCTTTCGCCCATGAAACAACCCCACCTTTCGCCCCAGGGCGGCAACGGCAGTGCCGGCGACAGCAACCGGCGGACGTCGGTACCGCTGACGAACCCGATCGGCGGCGGCCTCCCCATGGCGGTGATCGGCGCGCCGACGGCCGCGGCGCCGGTGGCGCTTGAGGCCCCCGAGAGGTACACGCAGATCGTGGCCGTGTGGCAGTCCGACTGCCTGATATGCGGGCTGTCGCCGTTCGACAGCGACACGGTCGTCTTGCTCGGCTTTCCAGTGGAAGAGGAGGAAGAGGAGGAGGAGGAGGAGGAGGAGGGGGAGGGGGTGGTGGCGAAGGGTGTGTTCCAGCCGGAGGTGCAGCTGGTGAAGCGGCAGAGCGGCGAGGTGTGTTCAGCCGCGCACGGTTTTAGTTGTGTGTTGTTGGATTGTTTTTCTTCAGGGTTAAATAGCGTTGTTGGTCGTGCCCACACCCGAACGAGAAATCCAAAAGAAAACAGCGCCCGGAAGAGAGAGTGGTTGATTGTTGCACCGCCGTCCTTTTACAGATATGCCGGCGCACTACTGGCAAGTGCCCCCGCGTTCTGTCTATTAGGTATGCAGCGTATGTTGTAATGTCACTGAACAGAGAGGCATGCTTTCCCCCCCAGGCATCGCACCACATCTGATGAACAGCAGGTACAGGAAATACGAAGTTTCGTGCTCTTCGTCGCAAAAGACAGGGGCAGGGAGAAACAAAAAAAAAACGTCCCGCCAACAACCCGAATATTATGCATTCGCTGCTACCATCCTACGTACCACCGAACAGCAGCGGCACAAGCATTGGTCACCCGTCGTCCAATCTGACGGCCGCGTGTTCTGCCGGCACGTGCTGTGTAGTTGAGGACTGGAACTTGGCGGCTTGTTTTGCCTCACAATACCGCGTAGGTTACGGGGGTGGTGTTTGACGCTTCGGAACGCTGAATGCTGCGCTACCGACACGCAGTTGTTTACGCGGAAAGATAACAAGCATAGCAACGGTTAGCGTTTTTTCGGCTGACGCCGCACGTTGGGGTCCTCGAGATGCACCGCGCGCCGCACGGTGTTGCTTGATTCCTGCGATGGGTATCTTTAATGTCTCTTCGTGTGTGCGCTTTTGGGCTGTTTTGATGTGAATTTTCGTTCTCTCTCTTTCTGTCTCTCTCTCTTTCTGTCTCTCTCTCTTTCCGTCTCTCTCTCTTTCCGTCTCTCTCTCTTTCCGTCTCTCTCTCTTTCCGTCTCTCTCTAGTTCTGTCTGTCTGTATATCTCTAACTCTCCCTCCCTCTCCCTCTCCCTCTCTGCAAACATTCCGAATGACAGGTGATTTCGGCGGACACGGTCCCTCTTCGAGGCTGGGAGCATGCAGGCGCGGGGCAGCTTCTCCTGCGATCCACGTGCTGGTCGATTTCTTCCTACAAGCCGGACAGGGAGGGGGCCACCACCGGTGCGTCTCGCCTTAAGTCTGGTCTGTACTATCTTCAAGCGTAACTACTGCTGCTGCTGCTGCTGCTGCTGTTGTTGCGTGAGGGCTGTCGCCGCCAGGTAGTTTCGTCGCTGTTGTTGCTGCTGTTGCTCGTGCTGATGCTGACGGTTGCCGGGGGCTGGTGCTGATACTGGTGCTGGTGCCGGTGCTGCGGTCGGTCTCTTAGGGGTGTCGATGTGGTGACCGCATGGGTTGTTATAGGCTAGAGAACGTTGCCTGGGTTATTATGGACTGGAGAACATTTTCTCCCTCCCTCTCATCGTTTGGCCAACCCGGAACACACGAAAGCAGTTTAGAACCCTGTGTACCCCCCCCCCCCCCTTAATCGCGTTTGCACGAAACCGAACCAGTTTTTTACACACCCGCGGAGGCGGAGGCGACCGGTGTGAGGGGGTTGCCCCCGGCGACTTTCGTCATGTCCCCCGAAGACCTGATCGTCGCGAGGGTCAGAGACATCGACGACAAGGTGATTCATTCGATTAATCGACCGAAAAAAAACGGAAGAGAGAGAAAGGGATTCTATCGCTCTGTTTCAGAGAGAGGCGATCTGTTTGTCGATCGAAAAGGAAGAAAGAGAGAGGCGTTGTCTCGAGATCTATGAGTCAATCAAAAAGGGAGAGAGGCGTATATCTCGAGACTCGTTTGTGTCTATCGAAAAGGTTTCCCGAGGTGTGTTTGTCGATCGAGAAGGGAGAGAGGCGTTGTCTCGAGATCTATGAGTCAATCGAAAAAGGGAGAGAGGCGTTATCTCGAGACCTGTTTGTCGCTTCGCGTGACGTCATCATTGGTCCTGCTTACCACCCTCCGATCGGGCCCTAGTTTCATTTTTTGTGTGTGGTTTTGTTCGCTGTTGCTGTCCCCGTGTTCGTTGTTTTCGTCGGTGTCGGTGGCTCCCGCCAGCGATGTCGCCTGGTCGTTCTACCCCCGCCCTTTCTCCTCTATCTTTTTTATGTCCTGGCCTTTTTTTTTGTGAATTCTTGTGAAGCTGTTTTTCTGCCTTTGTGTGCTGGTACTATCACACTCGTGTTGTCGGCGGCGCTATCCATATCGACGGTTCCCTCCGAAATGTCGTTGTCGTCGTCGTCGTAATCGTCATTCCTTTCTTACCTTGGCTGCTGGCGCGTCAGCAGCTGACTCGGTCCCACCGCTGCAGCAACCTGCTTTCGCCCCCCTTTCTGTGCGGGCTGGCTTGCCATCCCGGTCCAACCTCGCAACCGTCACTGCTGTGTTGCCTGCGTGCATTTGTGTTTTTTCAGGTTTCGTGGGCCTTGGGGAGAGGAGACT